ATATACACGTACTCAATTAGGCGTAATATTACGTGTTTTTGTCTATACATTTAATGAGATATGCCCATATTATCTGTTACGTTGTTAAGACATGATCACCACGTGGCCGTCAGTCTTTTTCCATTATAGGTCTCTGAGTAACATTTGCCCGTGGGCTGCATCAGATTGGCTAGAACGATATCGCTTTCGACATTGCCAGGTAGTATTTGCGTAAGACGACAGATTTAAACAGAATCTCACTTACTCCTTCAAATCGTGAAGGGAACGATGAGAACTAGATGTATCGCTAAGAACTTCTATCGAGTCACAGGCTTCGAAGATACGTTAAATTTTTTTTCGTTAACTGTTTATTAGAAAAGGTACATTTATGAATACAAATGAAAAATGAAATCCGTTTACACAGCACTGTTTTTAAGTTCTGGTGTATTTGAAAGTTTTGTCAGTTTGAAACTGTTTGTTTTGCAGATTTCTATAAACTAGAAAGCTATATCTATGCCGGAACCCAAAAGCAATGGAAAAGGTAAACAAATAACAATAACCGTGTCTTTTAGTTGTGTCACAAACAATACAATGGGACCTGCCAATGAAAGATTATAGCACGATAGCGTATCTCTACATAGCTCTGTATATAGGATGACGAAGACCACATGTACGTTCCTTATCTGTCCGTGTCTGTGATATACCTAGAAAGCCACACGATCCGAATGGCTAAACGGGCGTTGCGAAGTGTGATTTTACTGAGAAGTAATTGATTTTTCGGATGAATTTGATCGTGTACGTTATACTTATTGAATCAGTGAGCTGTTACGTGACTAATGATGATATCCTTTTATGGCTGGGTCCCCTTCTTTCGGACACTGGCCAAACATCCAATGATTTGAAAACGTTGGTTTCAACTTCCCGTCTCTCGACGCGATCAGCGTGCCAGTCACGTATTTTGTTTAAAAATTACAAAATATAATGAGGCACTTGAATGGCGTTCCTTGATTTGGCCTGCATAGAATCTTGATGCCGGAGCGCTCCACTGCCGTTCGATGTGATTCTTTTCGCTCGAGGACTACGGGAGCCAAATGCGGCTGGAATAACCAACAAGTTTATCTAGATACTTCAACATAAGGCATACATATTATAGACGAAGGACGATACACACTCTTGAATTGACGACGTATGGAGCTGTTGATATGGCCGGCCTGTTCCAGCGCCCACTAATAGGCGAAAATCAACGTTTATTATATACAGAAGCGGCGTAACTATAAAACTGTGAACGCCGCCATTGGCTTCGTGTTGCCCGTTTGCATATCATAATTGAATATATCAAATTTAAAGCTGGATAGAAAAGCAAATTGTACATTTTTTGGCGACTTTTATGCGTATTTGTCTTTTCATATCATCATGAAACTAAATATATATATATATATATATATATATATATATATAGATAGACTCTTATAATTTACGGATAATTAGAAATTTACACTTGAAAAATAGTTTTGTAAAATAAATGTTAATACTGTTCGGCAACAAACTGCTTCTTATCAAGATTATGCTTTTTTTTTTCCATAATGGGCGTACGTCTAGCAATAGGGCTAGAGTCAAAGGATGCTTTATACTCTGAATGAGTGTGCCGCATTTAATTTCGAGACTTGGATGTAACCATACTAGATCATTGTCGCCTGGGACCAGCGAAGGGGCTACCATTTAACGACTGCAGAGCCTGTTTATGTCTCTTTGAATCTAGTCTGATACCTAAAACTAGTTATCTAAAATACTAATCCTTAATTCGCATCGCAATAACTTCATCATGACGTTATCTCTGAGCGAATAATGCGGCGATCCTGAGATTCCACCTTTTTTTCGCTGTTGATTTTTTTAATTGTGCCTCTGGATGATATATATTTGCAGGTGTCGTTGCCTAAGCCCAAATTTTAGTTTCGGCCTCCCAGGTCGGAGTATATATCTATCAGATCTTTCAGCCATAAATCCTTTTCTATATGTAGAAGAAGTACTTAATCCACAGTGACTTCGGTCCTGCATCCGCAAATCGTTGATTTGTGTGAAACTTTACAAAGCAAAATAATTACCACATATTAAAACATAAAAATATCGGCTCCGTTTTTTAATTCTTGATCTTTAACAGGGCGATAATTTAGCATAGAATCGACAGATATGAGGTCTGCGATTGTTATGGCCATCGAATTTAGAAGCACGAAACCGAGACAGGATAATACAGAGTCTGAATATATAGTGAAACAAAAAGTAATTATCTATGCCCATCTTCAATAACGAGCAGCACTACTTATGCTGCAAAAAACAAACGGACAGCTAATCCACGATACGCAAATAGTGTTAAATTATTTGTATAATTAACGGAATTGTATATACATTTCCGTAAGATTTACAATGACATTGAACATTTACTATGGCAGTACAACAATAAAACGTTACAGATGCTGATAAACTTGTCCACGGATAAATCGATAACGACAACGCTATTGAATAGCAACTAGATGCGGGGCACACATACGTCTCGTATGTGGAGCCCATATGATAGCTCCATTTCCTGTGATCAGCGCCTGTCTATGGATTAACGTCTTGGCAGCCATAGTAGCCCCGTACACTGGACAAACGACAGCCACAAGCAAACGAGAATACAAAGCTTTGTTGAAGAGCAGTGGCCACTGCTTACAAAGAATGAAAGCATAGTGATCTGGTCCCTGGGCACCGTCTGTTGACTTCAGCTTTTACCACCTTTCCTGTCCTTCTGTAGATGCAAAAGCTAAAGTAATGAGCTATAGTAGCTGCACGTGTCCGCTCGGGTATGCCATCATCATCCATTACGATTCTTTGCTGTTACTGTGCAATTGCCGCCCCACCTTGCTCTAATCCACTGATACCAGCCACCTACTCTGAAGTCCTACCATGACTGCCGCTGCTGGTGTTACTTACGTGCGTCTCTATAGCGTCGGCTGTACGCTTAGATCGCGTCGGCAGGGAGCACCGGGAAACGTGTCATCTCTTCGTCGTTTTCCTTTATCGGCAGCCAACGATGACGAAGTCTACTGAACGGCAGCCGGGGTTGATGTGACCAATGAGATAGTGCTATATATATATGTGAAGGTAGCAATGATTGCTATTGTAGTAGCCGTCGGTCGTACTTCTGTTAGCTAGAGCGGCAGCGATCTTAATGGCAACACAGCCGCTATAGCGGCAACGAATCGAAAAAGTCTATCGAGAAAGAGTCTTTTGATTTCTGCACACGTCCAGCTTTCATACTTGATCGCACTACGGCAGCACCTAACTACGATCACTGCCGCACGCTATCACTAGGCAGACATCCGTACATGGAGCATTAGCGCCAACAGTAATTGAAGCGTTCGTAGCCACAGCGTCATTGCTATACTGCATTGTCGGTAGGCACAGTGTAGGTGCGTGATGGTACAAGGCAAGGTGGCACAGAAGCGTCACGGTGCGGCGGCGGCGGCGGCGACCGTCCTTCGCTCAAGGGTCGCGATACGTGAATTGCACTCCACCCTTTTCAGGTGAGTGGCACCACCATAAGCCGTTACAGTTCCTTTAGTATTGTACCTGTAGCAACGGCAGCGCTACGCACTTCAAGGGTCAGAAGACCACAGCAGAAAATACCGACGCAAATTGACAGCAAGCCTGTCGCGCTAGCGTCAGTAATAGACGCAGTGGGCTTCGTCCGGTGAGGTATGGCTGCCACTACTATGAAAAGTACAACGATTCCGAATGCTGGTCCATTCTTGCTCCGTTACTTCCCCGTTCAGCCACGATAATGATATATTTACACGGAAAACAACAGTAATCTAGCTATAGTGATCAAGACTTGCTGAAAATGATACAGAGGAACGCATGCGTCGAGACAATTACAAATCGGTTTTGGCCTTTCTTCTTACCAGCGGGATACGCTAACTGCCGTAACAGGTTTGTCTTAGGGTGACGTGTACATGCAGCGACACCCGAACAAAGATTCCATTGCAACCATGTACCGTGTGACTTTGTACTTATGTTTCGTTTAAGTTTTTGGCCAATTACGAGAGCTGAAGTTATCGCTAAAGCGCCGCCCCCTAAAGCGTTCGACGGAACACCGTTGAAAGAAGAATGTTGCCGGTTGGTCTAACTTAGTCCTTTTTCCTTTACCCCTAGCGCTCGCGTAACGTAAGTAACGTTGTTTCGAAGTGGATTTTTTTTGTTTACGAAAAACTCACTACCAAGACTCTTCAAAAGCGCATACGAACTCTAGCCTAAGTTTTGCATTTATCTAAGCCATTTATCTGCCAAGTTATTATCTCCAATACAATTTATAATGCTGTTAAATGTGGGCACAATAAGATCATTCAATCGACGTAGATAAAGAAGCACAAAAATCTAATATAAATCAGGGTACATCCTTCTAGTTTTGCAAATTCTATAGATCACCTGATTCTTCTGGGGAAAAACTGCTCGCCTATTATACAGTTCAGATTACATATTATTAACATCATGTTGCACACAAGACAATATAACATCAATCAAACTGGATGAAGTATGAAAAAAGTTCCAATATGGCCATGAGCTGAAACAAACCACCGACTACTAGAGGATTTGGCAGTCGCTAATTCAGGAGAAATTCGCTATGCCGGGTAGATACTAGCCGATCGATAAACACCGATATCGATTCATCTCACTTATCTTTCAATGGAACGGTAATAAACGATTTCTAACATAAACACAAGCATAATCTATGAAAAAAGACGTTATGTATCGTTATTTAGGTTGTATTGTGGCGGCGACCTAAGTTGTCCAGCGTACTGTTTGTACATACATTTTATCTTGAAAACGATCACAGTAGAGATAATGAAACTAGAAAAGAATGGATTCTTTGGATTAGGCTGGGACTAGATATCTCCTACAGCTATATGCAAGCGCAACGCTTTACGACTAATAGACAAAAGCTCTATACGGGCGTCTGTGTGTACATACAGCTTTCAATTAGAAAAACCATGATTGTGATCTTTGCTTGGATAACCATCCAGGAGCAGTGCATCACGCGATTACGCCTATGACGAACTTGCATTTAAGAGCAGCAATTGAAGTAGGTAAGTTTCAAGTGCCTATATAAGGTCAATTACAGTACAGTAGATAAATCCAAATTTGTAGTTGATGTAATTCTGTGAACGTTCAAAGTACAGATAAAAATTATTGACAGCGCCGATTGCATGGATAGTTGTGCTTATTAAAACATTCAGTGCTCTTCGTTCGTGTAGCGGCAGAAAAACATCTGACACTTTGATCGAACATCAATGTAAACGTTCAGAGGAACCAACCGATGCAAAGGTAAAGTCATTCTTAAATACAACTGTGTAATATGCTATTCGTACATTACTTTGTAGATCTTAGAGACTTTAGATATTTAGGGAGATGAAGCTCCGATTTCAGATAAAGGGATTCTCTCAGTAAGAGAGTTTTCACTAGGAACTATCATATCTGACAAATCGAACAAGATACCTGCTATTGTATGTAATATATAGTCGTGTAAGGTTAAACGTTTGCCCCCTTTTCCAACCAATAAACGATCGCATGCGGAGAATGAAACAACTATTCTAGCTTCGCCAACCAGCCGTACGAGCTGAACACGTACTTCTGCTGAGTCTCAGATTTATATATAGCCAACAATATCAGCAAATATAGCGTCAATATGATCCAAAACAGAAGCGTAATTAATTCGAAATGGCAGTGGAGGCCTTCGAGACAAAACAACTGCTAAGGGGCTATTAATGCCTGCGTTATACTTATTTGTAACCGTAATATGATGATATAGAATTCCGATATTTGATGGCCTTTTTGACTCTCTGAGTTTGGATTTTCCCGGTTCGACTCCCTGCATCCTAATCGTCCATTTGTTTGTATTGTAGATTTGTTCGTCATAGTATGTGTGGTCAACTATCCGACGACCGAGTGGTAATCGAAATCGAAGTCGTGCCATTGCGTGTTGGTAACAATCGTTGGTCCGCGCCGGTGTGGGGCGTGCTGGAATTTCTAATTTGCCCAACCCTCTACTGCAGCTAGCGGTAGCTCAAAAGCACTACGCTCTTTGCGTTCGTCATTTTAGCATCCTTGGTGCACGTCAGTGACGGCAGCCGCAGGAACAACGACGAAAAAAGTAATATGGCAGTCGGTATCTTTCCTCCCAGAGAAGGGGAGCTCGAGGTGGCTAGTACGTGCACCGCAATCCAATTAGTTTCGATTCGTGTCATCCATTGCCGGGAGCAGTCGGTGAGCTAGTAGCTATTATGATTGATAGGTCGAGCGGCAGCAAACGAACGTTTATTCCGTAGACTGCACGGTAAACGTGGGCCATGCTGCCACCGTCTCTTATTATTTTGCTAATTTCCTAAGCGACAAGCTGAACTCCTTCAGCCCCCTAGTGTTAGCGCTCATTTATGCTGCCAATTCGCAAGCCCATCTGGGCGGGGTCCACAATTGTGCACATATTCAACCGGCAAACCAGACATGTACACACATTGTATCGGCAACGTTCTATAATAGAAATAATCGTCATTACATCGTTGTAAAGGTTGTGCTAGATATTCGATCGTTCAATCAGGGTCCGGCTGATCCATGACGTATCACAGGAAATCTAACTATTATCACTGCTGCCGCTACTTATTATAACGATCATCACTAGCGAGAGGGAAAAACTCCACCCAATGTCTATTGGGTACGAATTATGTGGCCCACCCAAATGAAATCTGTTACGGCTTTATTGCTTTCGTGTAATGCCGTACAACATATAATATACAGTATATGAGTATTTTACATATTGTAGCAAGTGATTGCAGACGTTGACGGGGACAGACGGAAAGCGTCGCCCAACGAACGTATGCATCGTGTTTCTGCTTCGGACAAACAGCTCGTATCGCTGTGGCAAATATATTCTTCTTATAAGGAGATATTTCCATGTACGTCTGAGACATTATTCGGCCGATAAATAGCTTAGGTCGAAGCAAAACAAAAGCTGTAGCACCAGGACAATATGGAAGCCATCATTCAATTTCACGTAGAAGTTTATCGTTGAGCTGGCACCGCCTATCTGCAGGAAAACACCGAAGAACAACATTATACGATGGGTTTCGGCTTTGATAACAGCACTAACGTTCACTTTACTGGTTGTACAACTAATGAAGTTGAATTGGAAATGAAACACGTGAATCGTGTTTACAAGCTAACGACCATATCAGCGCCATTTCTCCGAATAAGTATAATAAACCGAAATAGATGAACAAACACAACGAAACGGACGTGAGCCAACGATGCTAGAAACAGCTAACAAGTAAAAATAGGACGCAGGCATTCCGTAGACGTCGTCGGCCCCGTAGTCCTTTTCTAATGACGATCTATTAAACGATGAAGATGGACGACCTTCGAGATATCCGACACTCGAAGGTTTTTCTCTCGTGCCCGTCGGTCTCTAAGAAACGAACCCGTTTTGTGATCCCTTTCCAAAGCTGATGGCAGCAGACCCGCCATCTGCCTGGGAAAGTTGCAGAACGAGCGACTGTGACGATTCCTGCTGCCGATGAAGATGGAAGCAACTAGCGAACAGCGATCTGAATAGTTAATCGAAAACGCTTGGGGAACAACGAGGCCGGCCGAATGTTACGTGAATCCGCAGAGGCGTTCGAATGATGCCGTCGACGCTGAAGCTCAGCGTGCAGCTCAATTGTTTCTAATTGTCTGACCTACTGTTGAATGTTACCACCTATACGACTTGAACTCCCAACCTCGGTCACAAACGCATACACTTATTGCTATAACTGGCTATTCGAAGCTGATGCTATTCTCAAAGTTGCGTTTCATCCTCTGCTGGTCCTGTCGCCGCCGTGATGCGTACGCTAGATGAGCGAACACTGAAAGTGATTAAAAAAGAAAAAAAAAAACACTTTTTCTCCAATGTTTTTCCGTTTACTATTTATTGAGAGTTGTATAAATCTACGAAATTAAGTCGCAGCTCTCCTAGCTTATTACAGCGACGTATAACTGGAGTAAGTTCTGGAAACTCACCTCCTTCCTTCCAGCAACGTCCAGCTTCAGTGCCTCCGGGCATTATAGTGGAAGATTTGTTATCCTTATCTTTCGCTCAGTACAAGAGTAGACAGGCTGCAACTAGGTTTCTTTCAATTGTATCTGAACAGCCTACATTTGGTGTTTTTAGCCCACATTTCCACACTGGACCCATATTTGCTGCAGTATTTCACGCCCAGAGAGCGCACTGGGTTCGCATAATGTGCTTGAGAATGTAGCAAGCTTTTAGCTGTAGAAACAAACGTCTGATCTCTGTACGCAGAACCTACGACTTCACAGAGTTGCCCGGTCGATATCACCTCTGATTTAAAGCCATACCTATGCGCTAAATCACATCGAACGCCAACGTGTTACAATCAGCGCATGTGACTTTTTCCTTTTCCCGTAGAGTAGCGCTGGCACAGTACGGGTGCTATGATGCTACACAACCAGGTGGTTCTTTCTCTAAAAAATTATACATTTCAGATTCATTTACGGGTGTTTCGCGCGAATCTACCGCGACACTGGTTTCGCCAGTGTCCAGAACGTGAACCCAATTACGTAATGATTTACTGATACTTTGTAATGATTCAGTAGCAGACACTCCTCGTCAGCAGTAGGTACTATCTGCTGCTGTCGCTTTCTGTCTGTCTAGCTACCAACGTGCCTACAATGGTCCGCCGCCGTTGGCGCATCTTCGCTCTGGTGAAGCTTAGTTCATTTCTTCCACTATAACTGTTCGATATTTTCACATTGTCATCAGCATTTAGCAGATATTTTGCCTTCTCGCTGCTCCTATATAGACCGGTGTTAGGATTACTAGCGTTGTTGCTATCGCCATTACCGAGGATGCGCAACGCTCAACTGCCACATCTATCGCCCGTGAAATGCCGTAGCTGAAGATGCCGCTCTTGTAGTGGATGTGACTGAGACACCGCTCGGCTCTATACGACAGTTTTGCCTGTCCGTCCCATTCCTGCCTATGCGTGGCCATGGGGTAAACGCAGACATATACTAGACTTATGTAGAAGCAAATAGGCCCAAGGCCTTCTCCGCAAAGCAGAAAATATGTTCAATATTATGGCAGCTGTAGTATTTCGGACGACGGTACTGCTGTCTGAGTTTTTGTAGTCCTGCAATCGGCTGTGCCATATTGAGATGCCTGCCCAAGCAGAGCAGTAGGACCAAGTAAGAAACAGAAACAGGGAGGATGGGGAACGAGCTCAGAAATGTCGGACGACAGATATACAGCGGTAGCATGTCCACCATCAACAGCATCAGCAGAAGTTGTCTGAGCTGCTGTTCATTGCTGCTGCTGTTGATCTGATGATACTGATGATGATGTTAGTGCTGCCGCGGCCATCGGGTGGCAAGATCGTTGGTCTTTCTGGTGTTTGCTCCTTCTTGTTCTCCTGCTTCTGCCGGCGCGAGACGCCAATAGAAGCGATGCTCTAGGACTGCGCGTCCGACCGACAGGCAAAATCCTGCAGCCGCCGTGGGATCAATGAGGGGCCCACTACTACCGATTTTACTACGACGTCGTAACGAACGAATGAAGTCGAATCGAAGTACCGCCGCAAGATGCGACTACGATGAAGAGCTGCGCCTCTGTCTAAGCGGTGGCTGCAGCAGCGTAGGCAACAGCGGCAGGCGTCGTCGTTGCTTCGAAATTTGGCAGCACTGCCTATATGTAGTGCTACTTTGTACTGACACAACTACTACTGCCGACGTAGCTGATTGGCATAGCATACCATGCGGTTCACGCACGACGGTGGCACGGGCGCTCGCGTATATCTCTTCTAACGGCGCGCTACACGGACGAGAAGGGAACGTCATTTGAACAAAAAAGAAGGAGAAGACACCGTATGTTTGTCGTCGTCGTCGTCGTCGTGCCTTGTATTGCTCCTGCTTCTGCAGCCGTTTCTGCAGATCCTAAAGATGGTAGCCGTCGTGGTTTTAGAAAAATCTATTTTGTTACCTGGTGCAAATGGCTACCATACTGAGCAGGACCGTGGCCGTGCTGTCGCCGAAAAACTCAGCGGTCAGCTAAAAGAAGGATAGAATCATACGAAGAGGTGAGGTATGTGCATGGTGATGGCAGTCAATCGAATATAGGAAGAGCTGACGTTTGCGATGGTAGTTTTGGTGATTGCCAATATGAGCCTACTGCTCACTGCCACAAGAAGATAATGTCGACCCTAGAGAAGGTAGCTTGCCGTCATTGATGTCAGCGTCTGCTAAAGAAAGTTCTTTGTCTTTCATTATAGAATAAAGCAAAGCGAACCGTGAATGCGAGATATAGAAAATAGGCCAACCTATATGGAGTGGCAAAATACAGTTGTCCATATCGTGACATGACGTATTCATTGTTTTAATTTACCTTTATTTTTCTATCGTCTACATATGATTACGGAACGTGTGATATAGTCAAATGGCTGTTGATTATAGTGATAATACGTTGTTGGTGTTATAGTAGCTAGGTTAATCTGTCCCATGTATGGATACGTCGAATTTTTTGTCACCGTCGCTTAACTGAAAAAAAAACTTGTTTAAATACGATTGAAAATATTTATTTTTAATTATTTTTTTTAAATGTAATTAATTTAAAAAAAGTATTCTAAAAGGCTTCAGACCAAGCGAGAATCAGAATTCGCATCTGTAGTAAGGCAGAACACAAATTAGCTACCTGATAAGTGGCCGAAAAAGGTTACGCGGATCTCTGCAACAATACGTTCTAGGTGTTGCCAATGCCTGGTTAAAGTTAGGTAGACATAATAGATATGAATGTATCATACTGAAAATTTATCTTGCGACTTAAATATGCATCCGTCAATTTTTCTGCTATTTTATTATGCATTTGATAAAAAAAAGACGCTTTTTTTTAATTGAATAACAAAAAAATAGGTATTTATTCTTGAGTATCCCAGAGGGCGCTACCTCTTTTCCGACCGTCGAAATATCTGGGGCAGTAGCGTGGTTCTGCTTAACTGCTATACTTTGACGAGGGTCGTGTTCAAAACATATTTTAACACACATAGATCTATAATAAGGTAATTCTGTTACAAATTTCTAGGCGATAATACTCGTCTTATATTCAGCTAAGTTACTCGTATTGATAAGTTACGCATTAACGTTCAACTTACTGGCCATATTTTGTTCTCTCATCCCCAATGTTATCAGATAAATGGCTCTGCTGTTCGTGGGTGCTTACGAGTAGTGTTAGATTTGCGTCTATTCTCTGGACTACAAACTGCTGCAGACGAACGAATACTACTGATGAATAGCGTGCCGTATATTTCAACACATTGGTTCAGTCAATCACTCTCTCTTACTCCTTCACAGAGTATCTCTCACGTGCTTCGTTTGATCAGGACAGAAGCAACTCATCCTCATCAGACGGAAAAGCTCTCCAATTCAGGTTGATCTGATCCTTAACGGCAAGTTGAAGCTTTTGTAGACAGGCATGCGAATAGGCAGGAGCCGCCGACGGCGGCGCCCATCATTTCTCATCAGATATGTAGATTTTGCTGGGCCTTCAATTCGATTCTTTCAGGGGATCGCAGTTGGCAGCGCGACAGTTAGGATGAACTTGAATCACGGCATCGCTAGAGACGTGGTTAGTGAACCGTGTCGGCCGCGTCGGACGAGCGAGACTCTGCAACTTCGATTGACATCGTTGTCTACCGTCAACACGGCCACCGTTGCCACCGCTGTCATCATCACAACAACAACTTCGATCTCTTCCGATCCGGCGAAGTTCATCGGAACGACACCGTCGCTGGCGCTAACCTCACCGAGCATCCTGACCCCGGCGGAAGCGCGACCCGCTTTCTCTCTCACTCGTTTCTCTCTCTAAAAGAAGCGTTTGTTGACTAAATTTGTACGCGCACGGAGGAAGCAACGGTTCGGCAATTCGTTAACTCTTATAGAAATAGCCGAGCGCGACTGTGCTCGTGTCGAGTAACAGAATCTCTATATTATATAGCGTCAATTATCTGGAAATTAGAAACGTACATAATATAAAAGCTATACCGATTTATTGAAAATTCACTTTTAAGTACATATACTTCCTCACATAAGTCACTACTTGGATTTTCCGCCGCCTCATTCAGCTTCAGGATCTTCCACTTAATGTCTATCCAAAGTTATCAAAGAATGAGTGAGATTTATGCTTGAATCAGGTTTATTAAAGACGTCACGCCTGTATCTACCACATTATTGCCAGTTATACATGGACACTTCTACTAGATATGTTGTTGTTTTCTGATTCTGTTGGACACGGTAAGGTTCCAATTCTCCTGCGCACATGAAATAGCGACAGATCTAGTACTGTGTGGACTACAACCCAGCAGGACGCCATCGATCGATGTCTAGCAAACAAGACAAATCGTTGCTGGTGTTTTGACTCGAAAACGAACACAACATAAGTTTGCATTGCCTTACTTCTGCGCGATCAGTCCTCGCGTACTACCTCTATAGGTAGTAGGACTGATTGAACAGCCAGGCTGTATACAGAAGACTGTTCTAAACATCGAACTTCGTTCCCTAGGCCGCCGTGCTATTGCGAAGCTTAGCGTCGAGTTGTTGTCCGGCTGGCGCGACATGGATAATCACTGACTTTAACTCGCGACTTTCTTCGCGTGCAGTTTTCGATGCTCAAGCGCCGCTGACGCTGTTAGTTGAGTCCACCATCACGTCTCGGCTCCATCTCTGGCAAACGTACACAGTCGGAATGGCTGTTCTAAGACGGGGGTCATTGCTAAAGCATCGCTTTTCGGAAGCCTTGTACTTTGTTTTTACTGTCGGTCCTTTCTGGATAGCCAGCCAACAGAGTACAGATAAGTTCTTGAACGGAGTTACGCCACAAACCAAGAAGAGATATACACACACACACACACACTCACACGCACATATACACACAAAATGCATGCGGAGAGTCGAATTTCTGAACAGCATAAACACACACATAGCCTGATGAACAGATTTTGTAAATATATATATATAAAAAAAAAAAGGCTGAAAACGAGAAAGACGCTGCAGAGGGCTAATAGAAAAGATCGAACGGTATCTAGTTCAGTCCGAGCGCGGCTGTTTACAGCGCATATCTGCGTAGCCGGTTGCACATGTCCAAACCGTAGTAAGGTATCGATTTGACAAACTGATTGAAACGATTTGTCCATTCCGGGCTGGGAAGGTTTATAAATCAGCTGAAATTTGGGCTCTGGGCAGTTTTTGCTCTACTGGATGTTTTACGCGGCTTCAATGCCTCTTTTCGCGCAACACCCCACATTGCTACCTCGGCAATATTTTGCAAGTACAAAAATGGTGATGGATGTAATGTATAGAAGCTATTTGATAAGGCCGATAAGTAACAGGTAGCACGAGCAGATTACTATAGGCGCATTTCAGGCTTTTTTTTTTTTTTTTTCGTTTAGCGCTCACAGAACTTCACTATCTTCCAATAATAAGATCTTTTGCTAAGCAGCGACTGTGGCCATTCGAAGTCGTTGCTATTGGTGCTGTCGTTGTTGTTTGTTTCGTGTCGCACGGGTCGATGCGTAGTGCGTGAACACTGCGAGTTCAAACGAAGTTTGAAAGGAAAACAGAAGCACGACAGGACACCAATAGTACAAGTTACGATATTTTACCAACAACAAAATAAAAAAGAAAATACGGAAAATGTACGTTTGATTCGATCGAATGCAGATTGCAGCAGCGTATGAACAAGGGACGTAAAATCAAATAAACAGAATAACGTACGTCCGCTAAAAAATAGTATTTTGCGCACTACCGTTGTTCGTATCTTGGTATATCTGTATAGCTAGCTCGAAACAGCGTGGACCTGCTTCTGGAGTAGCAGTGTCAATGAACGGCAATTCTACAAAGTCCATGTATGTATGTATGTGCTTGCGTCTAGCGTCGACCGCGTGAGCGGTTTTGAAGTAATATCGATAGTTCACCGGAAAACCGAAAAGGAGGCGTCTACTTCGAAAACCTGTCATGTTTCTTCCTGCACTTTTTGCCGAAAGCATATATAGTATACAACTACCAGTACCACTGCTTAAACGCAACGAACGTAAACGCATCTACCATTGACAGAAATGTAGCACAGGCCCAAGTGTATGGCAGAATTCTGATAGCTAGGCAGCAAAGATACGACTTTTCACGATGCAAAGCGGGTTTCTAAACCCGTGTCACTTGACAGTTGTCATTGATCATAGACGTTTAAATATATAGGCCGTCAATCCTGCCTCTTCACCAACGTCGATTAAATCGGAAGTGATGGATGGCCGGCGGAAGCCAGTGGGGCACAATGAAAAAAGGTAAATACGATACCCCGTTGCAAGGCAATAAATGCGTAGGTTTATAGCATAGGGCGATAACAATCACATGAATAATGGTGGTCCTATTGCCGCCGCTGGTAGCGTCGAAAGCGGCTGCAGTTTTCCCTAGCTAAGTGGGTGATAAACATATATGAAATATACAAAAAGGAATATACGAAAGGCACTCCTATTATGATTCGTGCGATTAAACCATGTGTGATCAACACGTGGTATTATACGCCTATCAGTTGAGCGAGACAGGTGTGCTTACAAAAGCACAGCAGTCTACGGTATATGTTTCTATATAAACGTACTTGTTCCGCTACAACCGAGTCTGCCATGCTGCATTAACGAAAAAAGCTGTAACACAGTAGCATAGTAAGGAGGACATTGGATATCAGCATGTATTCACGTGGAAGCCCATAGATGCATGTGATGTTTGAGTGACGCACCGGTTGCTAATGGTGCTTTCGAGCGGCTGATTGCGGCACAAATGACGTCCACAGTGGACATATAAGCATATTGCATATAGTCAACGGATACGCCTGCCACAGCCGTCCCAACACTTCGCGCGGTTGACGACGCGCAAAGGTGCGCTGTTCCTGTATTTTGGTGCGGTGGCAACCGCGCGTTCAGCCAAAGGGCGGCGCATAGGAGAAAATGTAACGCAAGCAGCCACGACGCCAGCTGTGGCTTATTCCAGGAACAATGCCTTCGTTCGTGAAGTCATCGTCCAACGCCATCGATGAATTAAATTTGCGCGCCGTCGACTTAGCCCCGCTAGCCCGCCAGACCAGCGTAAATTGCCGATTTCATACGTCTAGGGCATGAAGGCGGCTGCAAGGGTGGCAGATACTGTAATCGATAGCTGTTGATTATACGACGAGTGCCCGCCGAAAAATAATCGCGGCTAAACGACGTCGTAGAACAACTGTCAGTGGGCTCTGATAATGGGCCACACTGACAATCGTATCGATGATGGTTTAGGCAACGGCAGTATCTAGTGGCCTTAGTGGCTGGTACCGGACCTACTAGAAGCCTGATACCAATGCTGATAATAGTGATCACGATGATGACATTGTGACACCATCACTCAGAGCTCATCACACCTGTCAGTACCGGTAACGGCTCGTTCATAATAAAGTAATATTTGGTACTGACGATGCAATACCACTGCCTCAGCGTTCTGTGTTAAATTTACTAATAGATGCTTGCGTACATATTACGCTGTTCAGACAAGTTGTATAGTCGCGACCGCAATAATTATAACAGCAACCGCAGTAACATTAAGCGTAACACCGATCATATCATAAACGTCAGCGTATTAGCTACTGACGTCATAAACGAACGACGTAAATCTCAGTGTGTGATCGTATGGAGGCGTCGCATTTGGAGATGTTATATGGCTTATATATATATATATATATACATGCATACGAAATGACAAAGTTCATAAATATATGACAACTGCTAAAAATAGTTGGTCCGCCAAGTACCTAAGGTAGATTCTCATAAAAATACAATATCTGTTCACTAGATATTTCGATTTATTATTTTTAACTAAAAAAATAGGTTAATCTTTATTTCTCTCATTCAAGTCTAAGGTACAATGATCTACTAGAGGTTTGCATTGGAACTCATATTGTTTCTGTAAGCTGTCCTTTCTTCCACATTGGTTGAGACCTTTTCTAAGCTATTTTTACCATGCTTTAATGTCGTTTAACCAACGGATCCGCCGACAGATGAATTCTTGTAGGCCAGCATTTTTGCTAACACTATTTGTCTCACAAGGTGACAAATGTCACACTGATCTGATGCGATACGTAGAAATGAACCAAACGCTTACATCATTGAATCTACCAGCATCGCGTTGATGTCAAAAAAATACGATTACCATAGCGAGAGCATGTTGTTTCTCATCATGCATGCCTTATTGATCCTATCATGTTGTTTTGGCCTGCTGGTGGAGCCCCTCAGGGCCCAAGTACGCATGTACACTATACGACGAGTTTGTCTAACTTTCGCTTGTTCCGCATCATCATCACCACCAGTCATCTTCGATGTTATTCAATGATGCTGGTTGTAATGGTCATTGCCTGGATTCAATAAATGAATGAACGCGTGAAGCGCTTCAATCCGATGCAGCTCCTTCTTGCCCCTTCCTTTTCGACTCTATGTACTGCTCCACCCCGTAGCAATCTGGATCTACAACTACCAGAGTACTCGTAATACAAATGGCTTCGTATTGGTGATTTTTCCTCGCTTTCGTTTCGTTGGTCGAACCGGCTTGACTATTATCGTACGACACACCAGGACACGATCTGCTACTGAAATTACCTGCTACGACCTGACACATATACACATAACCACGTGATCAAGGATTTCATTTCCCTATACTTGTCGTGGCTAGCATTTTTGACAAACATTTTTGATGCGACGCTCTAAACTGTATTCGTGTACAGTATAAACTATTGCCAATTCGAATTCCTCGAACCGAGATCTATTCTAGAGAGAAGTATCTTTATAAGTCTGTGTTGTCTCGGTAAGTTCATAAATATATTTATATAGTATATTAATATGTAATAGAGTTAATCACGGTACCGCACCAATTTGCATGTGCCCAGTTAGATTCGGACGGGAAACGTGTTGCCCCTGAATCTCCAGCACTATTGCCACTCCATCTCGATTAACGGAGTCATACACGAAAGTAAA